GACAAAATCGATAGGTAAAACAAACGTACCTTCATCAAAATGGCATCTCCTTTTGGAACATCAACAAACATATCACCGACCACATGCTCAACCCCTGCAACCATGGCATCCGGTTTTAAACACAGCTTGCAAATGATTCATTATATGCATTAACTATTACCATATAGTTAATATTGAGATTATAACCACAAATTAAAGATTTATTATTATATCTCAATAGTAAATGATTCATACCGGGATAGGAGGGAGCATGGGCTAGAACACCGGCTAAATCGAAATTAATACCGTTGATCTTGGGGTATTTCGAAGTGACCATGCCCAAAAGGGTGCCATGTCCTCCTCCCACATCGACCAAAACGCTCAAATCTTCGAAACCGCGGTAAACTTCTAGAACCTTCTTCAGGATCGTGACTGTGGATTCCGACATTGCCCGGTTGAACAGTCGGCCGAACCTCTCGTCCGCCCCTATGTACTCGAACAGTCTCACTCCATGAGCTGAGCTGAATGCATCTCTTCCTTCCTCTTGTATTATATCCTTCAGATGCTGCCTTTGAAAAAAAAAAAGCAAATGGTGTTAGTTCTTTCTATAAAATGTTTATTTTTGTTTGCTTAAAGATTGAATTTTCAAGAATTTTATTAACAAGAAACAAGGTTTCAAGAACAATGTTACCAAGACTTCAACATGACATCGCTATGGAGCACCATGGCCAATGAGACGAAGGAACCCGAGTCACCATCACCACCGTTCAGAAAGAACCGGCAAACCGGTTCGGCTGCGTAAACCCTCCCGGTTCTTCCTGTTCGACCGTTTTCGCCGGTCAGATCGGTGCGGCACTTGACGAGCGAGTAGCTTGTAAGCACCCGAAGCATCCGGTCCAACAGCGACGGTGCATGTGGATTGGTGGGTCTCGTGCGTAGCCCACTCGCTATCTCGGAGGGTGAGAGCCACGCGTCTTCACCGGCCGCCCAGAGTGCGTCAATGACACCGAGCTCGAAGGCCGCTTTCAGAACCATGGGAAATGCGGCTGCGTTTGCGATCTTGAGGGCTTCCGAACGCAAACGCGTTTCTCCTTCTTCTTCGGTTTGGATCGGTTTAGGGGTAGAATCGATATGGTTGCTCATATTTTTTTTTCTTCTTTTGGAAAATGCAAATATTATTTGGTTTAGTGTGAAAGTTGCCGCATTGGCTTCTCATTTATAAGGACGGGACTACCACTAGTGGAGAGGTATGATTATTTTATTCTATACTATTTATTGCATAGGTTCCTTTAAAAAGATTATATATATATA